TACAGAAGCAGGATTAGCGGCACCCGCGCGTACGCGAAAGCCATTTACAAATACTAACGAGGACAGATCTCGTTTAGCGTATAAAAAAAGCACGAGAGATGGTGTGGCAGGATAGAAGGAGTGTGGAAAGAGGGAGATAGGATGTGTGTGTGCGAGGTGGTAGTGGTGATTTTGCAGAGCTCGTTCTCGTGATTGACGACGATCGTTTCGTCGGGAACTCTTCTCCAGGAACATACAACCACGTCGCGCCTTCCCATCTCGTTCGTCAAAACGAAGATGATCGCCCCTAGAGGTGCGCAAAATTTCGTCGCAATCTGTCGGATCCAGCAAAAGTCAAAGATTGCCTCAGTTTTTCTATTGTACTTTAGTTAAAAAATATTGTATAATTATTTTTTGAAATTTTTTTTTAATATGAAGGAAACAAAAGGCAATCAAGAGCCAGCGCGGTAATTTGTTTTACTATAATCAAATTACATTGATATTTTAAGTGATAGACACAATCACAAAAAATGTATTTTTTTTAATTTTTAAGATAAGTTCTCGTGTATTTTTTTGGGTCTTTTCTAGATTAGGAGAAAAGTAAGATGCGAATGAAAAGATTGACCGTTAGTTAAAGAAAATTTTAATGACAGATTTTGTATCGTTTTTACGCACCTCTGGTTCACACGAGCAAAACATAAAACGATTCTTTTTATTTACAAAACTGTGTGCTGTATCTTTGTTAATTACTTTCCTCGAAAATTACTTTTTTAATCTTTGATCTGATAATCGATTTGCACAAAAATTAAGTGATTTCTTTATCTCGACTTGTGTACCGATCAATTTTGTCCAACGCTATAATCAAACAATTAATATTAATTAAATAACAATTGATATTACGACGTAGGTTTTCCGTTTTCCAGATATTTTCATTAATTTATCATCTTCTTTGACGAGAAAATTCACTTGTACAAAGGCGCGTCCAAAATCTCTTTCGGCAAACCATGATTATCGCGAGACTATCCGCGTTGATAATTGATTCATGATGAAAGTTTCGTGTAATGACTGCGTTTTAGCTGACGAAGCATTCGATTGATCTAAGAGTGTAAATTAGTAAGAATTGCATCGTGGTTCTTAGTCGAATAGAGTTACAGCGATCGTTTATCGTTACATTTAAAAAGGTATGTACAGTACGACTATTCGTGGGTCGATCGTGCTGCTGATAATGTATATCCGACGCGTATCAAGTTCTTAAAACGACACTCGGCACGAAGATCGTTTTTGCCCAATGGAAAAATAGAGCAAATAAAAACAGTCGAGAACATTTTTTTCTATTTTTATTGTTACATTATCTACAGTATTTTTATATTGTCAGTGTGACGTTTATTCATTCGATAATTTATGTAATATAAAAAAAAAGAGAAAAAGAAAGAGAGATAGATAGAGAGAGAGAGAGAGAGAGAGAGAGAGAGAGAGAATATTTGTGCTGAGATAACGTTTGTTTGCTTATTGCAAACTATATTGATGATGTAATACAAAAAAAATATTTCGAAAATAAAAGAAGATTATCATATTTTACATAAATTAATTATTA